GAATGTACGCATAAAATCAATAGTAATATGTGTAGCGTACTTTGATGCGTTATTGAACATCTTCATCTTTATTCACCGCTCTAATAAAAATGTTTCTATATTATTATTAAAAAAAACTAAAGCGTTTTCCTTTTTCATTTTTTTAAGTGCCTGAGGCGTAACGAATGTAATCATGCTTATAGTGAAGCAGAAGATAATGCATCGCGAATAATATATACAGTGTGGAACACTTTTAATGAGATACATTTCGAATAGATAATAATTCTAGTAAATAATTGAAAATCTTCAAAATAAATGAAAAAAATTAATAAAAAAATTAATAAGAAAAAATAAAAGCAAAATTTGTAACTATTATCTAATTTTATATTTAATCTTTTATATTTAACTTTCTAATTTGTATTAAATAAATATTCATATTCGTTTATTTTTTATCGATAAATAAATTTTTATAATAATAATTAGAACTTTAAAAATTAAAATAAAAAAATAAATTTCCAATGACACAAGATCATATACATACATATATATATATATTTTTTTTATTTATTTATTTATTTATTTATTTATGCATCATTTTTTAATATAATACTAGAAATTTTTTATCTTTGAATTTTTTATCTTAATTTTTATCTTAATTATAGTTATTAGATAAGTGATTATTAAATCAAAATATTTGATCTTTTAATTGTAATGATAGATTGTAGTGACAAATCTGATTGTAAAGTATCATTAGATATCAATATACATAAAGACAAATCTCGTATTTTTTTCTTTATTATACTCCTCATTCAATATATCTTCGAAGATCCGTGCTTGTCACCCATAATTAATTGCGTCGACTGTTTGCCTTTCTTCCTTGAGAATCAACGAATAAAAGATCGTTCATCAAATTCATGAAATCACAATAAATATTCTCACGCACTAAATAATATTCAATAAATCGATAGGTAATAAACGTGTTTTTATTAAAATAAAATATAAAATAAAAGTTGCTATTCGCAATAAATTGAAATAAATAATAATTGTTTCTGTTTGTCCTATAAATTCGCAAGTGTAATTCATCAGAATATTTAAATAAGTTACTTAAATATACTTATATCACATTTTAAAATGGACAAATACTTTTTTATAGATTAATGATTAAATATGGGATTACATATTAATAAAAATCAAATACATAATAAAAATAAAATTAAATAATTAAAAATTATTTAATAAAATAATCAAAACTAATATACATATTTTAAAACTAAAACAACAATTGTAATTATAAAAAAAGATTTTACAAAAAACCAATAATTTAATAAATTATTGATATTTACAAATATCTACATGTTTTATTTTAACAGAAGAATCGAATTTTAAAGAGAATAAATGAAAGAAGTGTCACAATAAAAGGGTAAACTAAAAATAAAGGAAATGGAAAGAGATTTTAATACAATATTACCCTGGAAAAAATCTTTCAAAAAATGACTTCAGATTTAGACACGAAAAGATTCCGAGAAGGATGAAAAGATTCCGACCCTCTAAATTGGAGAGATTGAGAGGCTGCCATAATTTTTGTCGAATTTCTGCTTTATGGTAAACAAGAGATATAAACAGATTATGATATTCCATAATTCTTCACGTTTTGCAACAAAAAAAGATATAATGAGAAAAAAATAAAATTAATGTTAAATAGATTAATTTAAATAGCAAGAAATGATAAAAGAGTAAAAATACTAAATAAAAATATGACAAAAATTGATAAAGTTATTGCAAAAATAACTAATATACAGTACCAATCAAAAGTATTGCATCATTTATAGAAATAGCTAAATCGTTACTTTAATGAAGAAAAACATAGTAACATTATCAAATTATAGAAATATTTTATTACTATTATTTGATACTTTAATATCGTAAAAATTAAAAATTTTAACTTAATAATAACAAAAATATTAAATTTTTGATTTTTTTAAATAATCTTTTGATCAATATTGTAAATCAAATAAATATGTATAATTTCTGATACGCGAATTAAAGAGCATTTTTCGTACATTTTTTGCGAAATAATCAATTTATTAACGAAATTAAACTTAGCATTTCGATAGATGAGTGCTCTCAAAAGCTCGCAGAAGTAATTAGTATTATATTACAGAGAGGATGAATATCGGCCGCTTCTTTGTAAGCTTCGATCAGCGCGACGAGATCATGATGTCAGTCATTAATAAGGCTGATATTCGTGTTCTCTGATAATTTTCCGTTTTGTGCTGACAGATCAGATTAACTCGGATTCACCAAGTACAAAATCTCATAAAGAACTTTAATGGAAATTCAATAGAAGAGGATCTTCAGATAAAAATAGAACTGAAGCATATAAAACTTATATTTATTGTAAAATCTATATAAATAAATATATTGTGTAAAAATCCTTGTATACTCGCTAAATAATTTAGACATAAATTATTAAAAATTTATAAATATTAAATATAAAGAAAAAAAATTAAAGGCAAATAATAAGTATATAAATAATAAAATTTACGTATAAATAGTTATATATTTACATATATCTTTACATCCTATCTTTCAAATATTAAAAATGACTGAGAATTATCTTTGAAACTATATATACATGGAAAGCGCTTTATAACTTTAATATTCGCGACCATGTCGCGACACAGATGGGACCATCCGCGTTATACATATAAGCCTGCTCTATCTGTCGCATCCAGTCGATTGTCCTAATTCTCAAGCGGAAATCGATAACGATGCCCACAAAATTTATTTGCGAATTCACACGCTACCGACATGGCCGCGAAAGTGAGCCATTGTCTCGCGTCCCAACGAAATTCCGAAACTGTTGGACGCAAATTCGCGGCAGCGCGATCGCTTGAACGAGTGGAATTTGTCGAACGTACTGACACGACTTCGATTCCTGAGAATTTCTGATGATTATACATGGTTTACGATAGAATTGAATTTTGACTGATAATAGAGATAGTTTATATAATTTTTCATACTAAAATTAGCGATTAATGGATGCAACTTAAAGAAAAATTCGACGATTGCAGTTATAAAAGCCTGAAGAAAGGATAATTTCGAGAAATATTCCTTTATTATTAAAATTATTTTATAATAATTATAATAAAAATTATGTTAAATAACTGTAATATAAAAAAGACATAAAGAAAGATAAACAATTTGTTATTTCGCTGGCGATTTTATCAACAAAAATGAAGTCCGAAGTGTGCTCGAAATATATAACTTCGAGTTACAATACAAGTAAAATTTTATTAATGACAATAATGTTGATGTATCACGTTTGTCAACGATGTCAGAGTGCGAGAGCGGTTGGTTCGCGAGATCGATACGATTTCAATATTTATCGCCAGTGTAAAGGCCACTTTTATGCACGTCAAGGCTGATCGTGCCTGTACGTGACCGACTTAATATCTCGTTGTATCTTGTCGCAAACATGAAATATTAGCGAAATATTTCGCGGTCCAAATTAATTATAGTAAAAAAACCATATTGTTAAATATCTTATTTTAATTTTAACATTAATAGTGTGGTGTATGTATTTGACACATTACATTTTCGTTGTTTAATGAAAACCATGAAAACCTTGAATTCATGAAAACCTTGAAAAGTTCACCAATTCATTTTTTCGATTATTTGAAAAATTACGTAGATTCATTAAATAGTTAGCATAATTAGAATATAATACACAAGTTTCGGGTTTAAAAGCATTATAAAAGATTGTTGAGCAGAAAATCTAAAGAAAAATATATTTAAAAAGGGAAGTAGAAAAGTTAAAAAGGAAGAGAGTATATTTTCCATAGAGAATAGAAAAAAAATTATTGAATATTTTTGTTTAAAAAATATAGTAAAAAGAAATAAATCAAAAATTTCTAAACAAATGTAACAGTGTTAGTATTCAAATATTTTTTAGGCATTTAATTGGTACACATGTCTTCACAAACGTATTCTTATTCCACGAAAAGTAAGGTGACAGAATGCATAATTCCCAAAAAATTATACGTGACTTGAATTCAGTAGGACCTTTCCTTGCATTTATCTTCCTTCTACTATATTCACATATTTTGTTTTTACGTGATTGCTTTGACAATAAAATCGAGATAAATTTTTCAAAAATTGTTCTCATATACACACATATTCGTAGAAACTCTTCTACGCATTTAAAAAAAAATTTATATAAAAACTATCTAAAAATATCTTTTTTACTTTTATCTCTTTCTATCAAAAATTCATTGATTTTATTAAGTACGATACAATATATCTTACGCAAAAATTATTTATACATTATTTTTATTTTTTTTAAATATATAATGATTATTTTTAAATTTTTTATGTGGCATTTTTAATAAAAAAAAATTATATATAAAATATTATAAATAAAGATTTTATAATTCTGTTTTTTTTTCTCTTTTATATATATATATATATATATATATATATATATATATAACTCTTATATATATATATATATATATATATATATATATATTTGTTTACATACATATATATGTAATCAGAATTAAATATATTACTATAAATATATATCATATAAATATATATTATTATTAGATTGTTATATTATACAGTAAGAAACGATTATCTACATATAAATATCAAATTAAATTCACGAATAAGCCCTTCAACCTTTAAAAAGCTTGCGAGCTGCACTGTAAGTAAAGGAAGCAATTTCGCATGCATGCGCTTAATTTGTCCAAAGAATCGACCCCTTCCGTTTACTCCCTCTCTTCTCCTAATATATTTCTCCTCAAGGTCACACATACAAGAATCCCAAAGATTCTCCCTTATAGAAAGACCTTTCGAAGTTCGAACTTGCGAGATATAAATCTACCTGATATTTCAATCGATCGCATTCGCTTTTTTCTCCTCTCTTTATATATGTTTTAATATCATTTGCGTCGTTTAATTGGATCAGTTAGGCCGACTCACAAAAAAACCGAATCGAGAAATTGCGGTCGTACCTCTTTTCCTTCTTAAAGAAAAGTATTTATCAAGCTTCTCCCCCAGTGAGATGAGACATCACCAAGATATTGGTCCCGAAGAACGGCATTCCATCCCGCCTTCACCGTCGAATAACGATCGAAAAACTGAAAGAAGAGACGTGTGGTTAGCAAATTAATTAAATTCAATTTAAATAATTATAAATTAATTTCAATTTCATGAAAATTTCACATATCCTTCAGCGAGAATAAAAATAGTTATTTGCGTTTAAATTATAAATATATTAATTCTAAAGAATTTAAATTCAAAATTTATATATAAAATTATATATAAAAAATTAAAATAAAAGATAATTATATTAATTTATTGACTTAATTATTGTATCATTTTTACTTAAAGATTATATTAGTTAGAGTAAGATTAGATTTTAGTTAATCTCAAAGCGCGACTTCTTAGATAGAGTAAGATTATTTTAGTAAATCTTAAAGCGCGACTTCTTAGATAAAATGTCATTGCTATGCAATTTCCTTTACTAAAATAAAAATTATTTACTTTATTTTATTTTAATTCTTATATTAAATTAAAATATAAATTTATATATGTATACGTATTTTTTTGAATACATGCAATATATTACATCACAGCTGGTTCCGACTGAAGCAATAAAGACCAGAAGAAAATATTAACGAATCAGATGCACAAATCGAAATTGCAGCATCGAGCTTGCCATCAATCATTTCTCTGGATTCCAATTTTTTTTCCCAATCGCACTGTAACGACATGCCGAAATTTTTTTGTACTATCCGCGTATTGTAGGCGTATATATAATGTGAATTTTTTCAAGTCAAACAAAAATTTTCCTTTTAGTATTACAATATTACGATATTACGGTTTTTATAGATAACATTGTGAGTTGCATGTAAAAAAAATAAAATTGTAAATTCAAGAAATATTTGTAAATGTGTATTTTATATCTCAGTAAAATATAACATTTAAAAAAAATGTTATATTAGAAGTACAAAATGCATGCTTATTATATTTATATTTAATGATTAAAAAAGATAATATAGTTTATAAAAATATATACAAGTATATTTTTATCAAGATCAAAGACGAAATTGATTTCCTAATTTCCTAGCAAAATTACTTCCAATTTTGAAAGTCTATAAAGATTAATCCTCCGCATTCTATTAAAGAATTATTAATTTAATATTAGATAAGAAAAAATCTCATTTCTCTCTCTAAATTCTCAATCTGTTTCATCGTTTTATCTAAATTCTCAAAAGATTCTTCATGTTCTCTAAGCTTCACACACACAAATCAATCAAAAATTATAAAATTCAATGTAAAAGATTATTAATAGAAAAAAAACGATGAAAATATCTTTTTATATAAGAGAAAATCTTTTTATATAAGACAAAATCTTTTTGATAGTATATTATCTTACAAGAACAGATATAAATATGAGATTGTAAAAAAGGTATTTTAAGATAAAATTCACTTCATCAAAAATAAAAATATAAGAATTTTAAATCCATTCTCTTCAACACATTTATATATATATATATATATATATATATATATGTATGTATGTATGTATGTATGTGTGTGTGTATGTATGTTATGTATATTTATGTTTATAGATCTATTAATGAGGAATTGGTTCAAACATCAGTCGGTAACGAGTATCATTTGAAGATACATAACGACCAACAATTTCTTTCGAACAGAGCCAATAAATACCGCTAACCAGTACAAGTTATCGATAAGAGTTACTAACAGTAAGTCAAAAAATATTATAATGGCAATAAATTTCGTATTATCAATATAAATTAATAACTTAATGAAAAAATTTTTTATCAAAATTAAGAATCTTAAAAGTTCTTTTACAAAATCAATTAAATTTGCAAAATATAATAATTACGATATATATAATACATATAATCCAATGTAATTAAATTTGCACAAATAAAAATATTTCTTTAAACATTCTCAAATTCTCTATTAGAGAGTTATCAATTAAAAATGCAATTTATATCATTGTAATAAATTTTATAATATCCTATTTAATTTTTATTTTATTTATTAAGCAATATTCTTTTTATATAAAGTCAGAACTTCTAAATTCTAATAATGAGAAGTTCTACACAATGAATAAGAAGATTTAAATTTCAAGGCATGATGACAGGCAAATTATTTGATTTTTTCCACATATGCGAAGTATTGTAGTCAAATCGCATAAGGTCACGTGCATATCATTTTCTACTCAAACAAATATTCTAGCACTTTCATTGAAATAATGTTGTTTAACAAGTCAAGTGACATTTGAAACTTTAAAATAAACATGTATAATAATGATATGTTATATACATATGAGTATTTTCGAATATCTTTCTATGTGTTATTTAAGCTTTTTAACTATGTGCTGTACTATTTAAGCCAACGAAAATTAACATTCGGCTTCAATAGGCTTTGAAATAGCCAAATTTAATGTATTCTGTATGTGCTTTGTACAAATGATCTAATTTATATATTTATATATTATTTATTACTGATCAATTGGATGCGATATGCACAGACACATCTTTAAAAAACTTATAAACTTTACAGAAAATGTAACAAATTCAATTAATAATATTATAAAAGATATAAAAATTGATTTTAACATTGATTTTATTTTTATGCCTTAATTTCTTTTTTTAATTCGCTACATATAATTTTTTTTAGAAAATTTAAACAAATCTATATAATTTAAATATGAAGCTATTTACTAAAAAAATAAATCTGCATAATTACAAATCTGCATAAAAACAAATCTATATAATTTACAAATCTATATAATTTACAAATCTACATCAAACAAATCTATATAATTTAATAACTATTTACTGAAATTAAATATATAGCTTTTTAAAATTAATCTAATTATTAATTAACTTAAGAAATTTTGTTGCATAAATCTTTTCTGCTCTATATATAAATCTTTTCAATCTTTATTTAATCTTCCGCAAAACTAATCTAAAATCTACAAAGTTTTCAATATATTGAAAGCTTTGCAGGAAAGGAGAAAGTTTACGGAAAAGAGATTTCGTCTTATTATTACTCATTGTCTCCCTCTCTCCCCCTTCCTCTTTCCATCTCATGCACTTTTTGCAAGTAATAATTCATTACAACATCGTGATCCAGTAGCGGCAAAGTAAAAGTGGGGGCTCACTCTCACTGTTTGCAGCCGCGACCATCTCTCTTTCCCTCTTTTTTTCTTTCTCTCTCTCTAACTCCCTCTCTTTCTGACGTGTGAAATTGCTCGCGAGGTTACCTCGTGAGTACACCTTTCAAGTTTGTCAAGCTCGCGAGTAGCGAACGGTCGAGTCTTGTACGACGGTGTAAGAAACTATTCAACAATTTCTTTTCCTTACATTCAGTGAAAAATCATGGATGACACCACAAAGAACTTCGTCAATGTCCATACGGATGTAAGCTGTGATACGAATTACGTGCCTTCTGCTATCGAACTTGTAGAAAGTGAGTTTCTCGAAAGTCCATGCTATGATTACGCAAAAGTTTTGTGTACAAATAATATATTGGCATTTGTTTCTTAAACGAAAAATGGAAGAGAGTCAAATGAAATTATCAATATTCTTTGAATAAATGAAACAATGCAAGAATTGAAAAATTACCTAAAAAAATTGTCTAATAAAAACAATAGTGATTTTAATGTACAATAATTATTTATCAGAACATAGCATTTTTACTAAAATTAATAATAAATGTAATTTTAGTAAAAATGCTAGTAATGTTTAATAGCTATGTTTTAGTGAAAAATTAATTAAACATAAAACGATAAAAAATCAACCATTATATAAGTGAGAAAACCCAATTATTAAATTAAATTAATAATAAATTAATAATAAATTTAGTTATTGTTTAACTAGTAAATTACTAATTTTCTTAATAACTTTGTAATAATAAGAAATTTTATTATTAAACAATAATTATGTTGACCCATTACTTGATGGCGTCGATTATTGACCCACTTGACATCATTTCCCTTATTAAGAAAATATCGATTCTAATTTTGTGATGGATAATGTTAAATTATTGAGTTTTCGAAATATTATTACAAATAATAGTCGTAGAAAGTGTTACGTTTAAAACGAGTTAGTTACGAGTTTTTTGAAGTAACAATATAATCGCCCAATAACATACTATCAGGTATAAAATTAAGTCTTAGAAACTATTGCGACACTCTTATCGTCAATGTAAATTTAACGAAGTAGATTACATACATGTTTATAATGTAAACAAATAAATCATGACAACAGGTAAAATTTCATAGAAAAATATATATTTTGTTTTTCATTAAAAAATCTTTATATTATATCTTATACTCTCTACTTAAAAAAGAAAATATAAAAAATGCAATAAGTTCTTTGATATAACATTGCAATTAAAAAAAGAGCGATCAGTGAAAAAAAAAATTACTAGAAAATATTATGCTGTCTATAATATTATTTTAATTCTTGAAATTTATATGTGAAAAAAATTTCTATATTACTACATTATAATTACTCTTACTAATGATATTAATGATATTAATGTACTATTTATTTTAACAATTATTTATATAAATTAATATTATTTATTCGATAATATCTCTTCTATTAAAACAAAAATGCATTCTGAAGATTTATTTGAGATTGCAAATAAAATAAAAAAATTCGGCTGCTAGAAACTGATATCATGTAATGTACGTAATGTGACTTGCATCAAACGATATGTAAGCGCATTGGTGAAAGTTGTGCCTAAGTTCATAAAGTATACGTCATTATATATTATAGATGTATGAGTTGAACATGTTTGAAAATTTCCAAACTTATATAACTTCTGTAAATAATTTACCTATTATTCTTTCGCATATTTTTTTCTCTAAGGTAAAAAAAAAGATAAAGTAAAAGTAAAAAGTATTTTTTAACTTCTTCGTATGCTTCCATTAGTCATATAAAGATACTGTATAAAATATATATATATATATATATATATATATATATAATATAAAAATTTAATAAATAATATAATATATAATATATAACATATATAATATATAATGTATAATAACATAATATATAATAAATATAATAAATAATAATATAATAAATATAATATACAACAAATATAATAAATAATATAAAAATATAATATAAAAATAGAAATAATTTAAATAAAGAAGATTTTTATATAAGTGTAATGTAAGAAAAATAAACAATATAAATAAAATATACAAAATATAAATAATATAATAAAGTGTAATATAAAGAATACATTATAAGAAAGAAAAAAATCAAGGATATCCGTGATTTCTTAATAACTAAGTAATTTCCATGATATCTTGTATATCGTATGCTTTACAAAAACTCTTTATATTCAAAACATAACACGCTAGTGTGAATACATGTCTCAAGGCGATAATAATCGATTGGTAAACTGAGTAAATGATTCTTACAGACTTTTGATAAATAATTGTACTATTTGTTAACACAGTTCTATTTATTTTATACATCGCACACAAAGTTTATTAAACGAGGAATTTAAACAATGCAATAGTAAACTATCAATAAGCGTTGCTATTAGCAATTATCCAATTCGCCGTAACTCTATATCCAATATGTACACACATATACACTTTTTATTGATATTTATAAATTGTTTATCTATTTTCATCTTTATACACCTGAATATTGTGTAAAAATGACATCAAAATTAGATAGTCTTATCAACTACCTGTAATTGATTTTAGATAGAATATCTGATCTTCTTTAGGTATATGGTATTATCTATCCATAGATATCTCTTATAAGAATTACTTTGTTTCAGAAGAATTGTGATAGATAATACCATTTAAAAAGATTAAATCACAATGATATTTTTGTTTTATAAGATTGTATAATAATCTTGTGATCTTTTCTTTTTCTCTCTCTCTTTCTAAGAATGCAATAAATGCTTCTTTGTGCCTTCACAATCAAATTGATATATTATTATATAAGTTTCGATAAAACAATTTGTGAATTAGCAACAATTTGGGAAAGTTAGATGTTTTAGTAATGGAATTATCTGCATATTAACATCAATATTTTGAGTCACTTTACTCATTATTAATGAAACTCTTAATTATACCGCGTAAAACAGTTAAATATGAGTTTTATTATCATTATTAGCTGTAGATAAGATAAAAAAATGCCGACAGTGACAATAAGATTTTATAAACAATAAGATTTATTAACGCTGAAAGCATCATCACATGAATCACTGCAAATTATTTATATAGAAATTAGGAATAAGATATTTTGTCACTGGAAAGGGGGGAATATCAAATAGCTTTATATTTTTCCTCCGAGAAAACCAAGATAAAATTGAAATAAAAATTTTAAAATGTTTAACAAGAAAAACAATGATAAATATATTAATATTTATATATAAATTTTTTATATAATAGCAAAAAATAAAGAATAAAATAATTAGGATTATTTAAAAATTAAAAATAAATTCAAACAGAGAAACAGAATTATTTAAATTGTTAAATATATTTGCAGAATTTCATTGAAAAAAATTATCAATCATTTTTATTTTCTTTTTTGAATCATTATTCGTTTTTTGCAGGTTTAAATGCGTTCGGTACCGGATTGCTAAGTGTCGGATCGATATTCTCAGTCCTTACAATATACTTCGCTGTCGATGCATGTCACAATATCGTCTACCAGAAGGACTCGAAATTTTACAAAGGAAATGCCATCGTGATCCTATCGGTGTATCCGGTCGCGAGCGTATGCAGTCTTATGGCGATTGCGATACCAAGGTAAAAAATAAAAGCCTATCGCAATTCTCTGACAATATCGAAATTCCGAGAGAAACTTGCTATCAGCGAAGTGTAAAATAAAGCCATGCGCATCACTACTTCTATTTTTCGTTTTACATACTGTTAGATTCATTTTAAACGATCTATCAAAAGTCAAAACAGAACTCTATAATCTTATATATATATATATATATATATATATATATATATATATATATATAAATCGTTAACAAAACATTTTATCATCTTATCTTAACATCATATTTTTGAATTTCAATATTTATTTGATTCTTTTTGTTTCTTTTTTTAGAATAAAATTTAAAATTGTTTAAATAAAGATATAAAAAAGATCTTTAACTTTAGATCTTGTATCTTAAAATGCAAGGATTCCAGAAATCTAGAAAAATATCTATACAAAAATTAAATTATCTAAATAAAAAATAAAGAATAAATTTATATTACCTAAAAACATTTTACTCATGCAAATTCTAATTTACAATTAACTACAATAGATATTGTAACACCTCAAGATCTTTTGTCATATCAACATTAGTTTTGCAAAATTCATGAGAATAATGATGTTCGTCTTTCGACAGGGGTCAACTACTATCCGAGGCGATAACTCAAATTTTCATAACAATCTCATTTTATCGGCTTTATCTTCTCTTGCTGGACATCGGTCGCCGAAGGATCAGTGAGACGCCGGTGCTGATGCTACGAGTCGGGCCCTGTTGCTGCTGGCCCTGTCTGCCCTTTCCGAACCTTCAGATGACCGATGCCAATTTGTCTTGGCTAAGAATTTTGATCTTACAACTTCCTATCGTCCAGGTAAAAAATTTCTCTCCCCTTTCTTCTTCTTTACGGTTCGATTAGCTTGCTCTTCTTTCGCGCTAAATAATTATTATAATTAAACCTCCTAAACCCCTAACTTTGATTAAAATTGATAATAATTAGTGTTACTTATATATATATATACATATGTTGCATTCCTTTGAATTTTCACAATACAAAAAATACAATATGCAATTGAAATGAATGTGCATATGAAATACACAATCTTAAAAAAGAAAGATTTAATTTATTATATTAATTTTATTTATGTGTGAATTGATATTTAAAATAATTAAAATCAATTATGTAAAAACTGATTATTTAAAGTTAATTTTATTCTGTTAAAATTTTGCTGCTATAATTGAAACAAAAAAAAGCTTTAATATACAGTGTAGCGTAGTTTATTTAAAATTTAATCATCTTTCAAAAATCTTTGTTAGAATATTTATTTTGAAATGAAATATATAAAAACAGAGAATTTCTTTACGTAGTACACATTTTCTGTAATATATATCGTATACATTTCAAAATAAAATAATTATATAAATAACCCTAACATTTATTTTTTACAGTTATGAATATCCTTGAAAATATTCAAACACACACACATAATATTAGAATTAAATAAATCAATCTTACAGAATAAAATATCTAATGGCAAGTATTAAATTATTTATGATTAATCAATTATTTATTAATTTAAATAAATAATTTAAATTAATTTAAATAAAAAATAAATATGATAATTTATAAAATAAAGATATTTATTTATCATAAATATTCCAGCAGAAAAATATTGGGAAAAATTTGAATTTAAAAAAATGTTTGAATTTTCAGGGTCTCCTCTATTTGATATTGCTTTTCATGGCAACCGAGGAGTCAACTCTCCCCACTCAATATGGTATATATCTTCAACCAGTCATGGTAATCAGTATACTCCTAGGAATATACAGTTTAACTATTACTACAAAGACTCTGCATACGACAATTCCAGGTAATAAGCATGCATATTTATTCAAGAGTTTTCTTTCATCATTTAATTTCAACAGAAGATTTATTTTTAGTATTTTGCATATACTTTGCATTTATTTTACTATTATTATTCTTTTATTTTACAAAAATTTCTCTAAATGTTAAGTACACAGCGTTTTATATTAATGTTATATAAATAGACCACATATTAATTAGATCACATTTTTTTATTAAATGTAATATACTACTCCTTTTCTCTTTGCTGCGATATATTTTCTTTGCTGCGATATATTTATTGTAACGGAAAGATTAAAAATGTTTTGTATATATTATATTTTTTAAATATTTTTAGTAATTTTAATTTAATTTAATTTTTTTCTAATATTTCTTATTGTTTTTATTTCATTAAATCATGATTTTGCTTTTTACGCGATAACAGTTCAAATTTTCGCGTCGAATCCAAAAAATAATCACTATTTACTCGCTTGTCGAAGATCGAAACTCGGATCCAATATATTTGATTGCCGAACAATGACAATTATATTACTGTCATTATAAATAACACAGAAAATAATTTACGAAAAATCTTATTTTTCATTCTCTAACTTAAAAATTCTCTATTAAAAAAATTATTTATCAATGATCTGACATTACTTTTGTTTTAGAGGCCAACTTACATTTCAAGGCACTGGTGTCACAATTGCTACTATTGTTCTCTAAACTGCAGGCAGCTGTAATTATTAAGGGATTGCCCGCCACAGGTATTTTTCCGTGCAATCTACCTCTCACCCCGACAATTTATGCCAATGGTAAATAGATAAGTTTTCATTTTTGTTTATTTGTTGTTATCTTTATTCATTCTGTTCTCAAAGAAAATCAAATATTCAGAGAAAATTGATAATTTTAATATTTAATAATATTCTTTTTAATTCGATATTTAATATTTTAGTATCGATTAAATTAAAAATTATAATAACACTGGAGCATATCGTGCAGGTTTTTATTGTTTAATTCAGAAATCTGAATCATTATCATTATATACTGAGATTAAATAAAATGTAGATGATAATAGCGATTAAATATAAAATACATATAAATGATTAATTAATTTTCTAACATTAAAATTAATTAAAATAAATTATCTGCTGAAATTCCATAGATTATGTTATTTCGTTAAGTATCGCGTTGACCGACACTTATCATTTAATTTCTCATTAAAATATATCGTATCTGATCTCTAACCAGAAACTGATAAAAAAGCAATGATTTCATGGTAGCATCTTCAAATAACATGATAAGACCCTTTATCTCCTAATTTAGAATACATTCGTTCTTTTCATTGCGTTCCGGACCCATAATCGAACGTAACAAAGAAACTCGTTTCACACAGAAGACAGAGACGTCACGCAGCATCCGCGACTCCCATAAAAATTCATCCGTTACATATACGTGCAAGAATAAATTTCCTTTGCTTCCAAACGACACTAAGATAACACATCGCCAGTAAAAAAGACTCTTTATGCAACACATAACTTACTTGATTATTATAAAAAGATTTTTTGTGCGACACATAACTTACTTTATATTATTGTATTTTAATATATATTTATATTTTTTATTCATTATTACTAGCAAAATTAATAATTATATTATTATTAACAATTTCATTAAAATTATATCAATTCCAATTTTAATTAAAGAGTATATTTTCAAACCGTTTTAAGCCTATTTTCTAAATATATGTATTAATGTGAATTAATAAATTGATTTAAAGCGTGCGAAATATGTGTTTTAAATATTACACGATTAATAAATATAGCAGATAACAAATTAATATTTGATATTCTTCATTTCAGTGACGTATAACTCACTAATGTTATTCGAAATGCTGTTACTCTGTTACGCTGCTCGACATGTATATTACGTCGATCCGGAAAAAAATGAAGAACAGGACGCAATAGATCGAGTGCCAAGAACAACGGGTCAGATAGATCTTATAAATAGCAATGATGGTAATAAGCAGCTTTCAGCGATAACAACTGCATAAGATTTTTCAAATAGATATCACAGAAATATGTTGACTGTATATATTATTTATATTGAAAAAAACTCTCATCGACGAAAAATTCGTATTTCTCGACAAAATTTTAATCAGCAGACATCGATCGATATGAGTAAGCTGATATTAATCAATGCAAGTAAAACGGGATTATGTAGATATAGAGCTAGAGATGTTATGGGTTTTTCTTCTGAATAGTTTAACTTTTAACTCTATTTTTACAAATCCTCTCTCTACCTTTACATAAGCTTCCTTATGTATATATTATTATTAATTTTATCACAATAAACATTAATTATTAGAACGTTATTATGAAAAGGCTTATACAAGGTGAAGCTTGGCTTGCGATAGATGATTTTCATACTCAATTTTCGATTGATTTTCTTTAATTCTGCAATTCTCCGAGTGAGTTTTATAAAATATATATTGAAAAAAATATAAAATAAATATATATATATATATATTATTTTTAATAACAAAAATAAAGTTATAAAAAAATAAAATTAAAATTCTTTTTTAACATGATTATAATATATATGATATTTATAAGTAGTTTATGCGTATGTTACATATGTGTTTTTGTGCAAGATTATACTAATATAATGTACATATATACATAATTATAGATTTTTATTTTTTAAAGTTTTTATAATAAAGTTCAAAATTAATTGTAAAAAAATTCTAAACATTCCAAACATGTCCAAAAATATAGAAAAATGCTTAAAGAAAGAGAGAGAAAGAAAGAAAGAGAGAGAGAGAAAGAGTGAAAGATGAAATGTACAAATAAAATGACAAAGATTATTTTATCACCAATTGCGTTAAATTTAATTACGTTAGATTAATGAAAAATAAAAGGTAATATATAATGTATTCTCTATTCTTATTTTTACATTTTATCCAAAGTGTCATCGTGTTCACAGTATACTTGAAAATATACGTTAATATTTCAATAACATGTTTCCATAAGATATATTACATGTCTCTGTCTTCTTCTATATCTTCCAGAAAAAGATGAACATCCTTTAAACAAGAGCTCACACAAAGTTTGTTCTTCAGGCTTATTATTCTTTCCTGGATCTTTCCTTTCATTTACGTCATACTTCGTTTGTTCTCGTAAAGTCTTTTAAAAAGCTCAAAATTGTAAATATTAATATTTTCCACGTTAAAACATCATATATACATTTATATCTCATTTAAAATTATCTTTTTTACATTAATATATAAAAAAATTATTAATAGACATATTAATTCTACAGGATTATATCTAATTTATATATTATATTTATAATTTATATTTATAATTATCTAATTTATATTTATATTTACATTATATTCAAAGAATCATTAAATTTTAATTATCATAAAATGTAGACTTTTTAAAAAATTTAACGTGTCGATTGCAGAATATCAGCACCAAAAATACGATAGGGCGAAATCGTCAAACTGACGGGGTTACAAAGACAAGTCGTTCCGTGGCTTCCATCCCCACGTCATTCTTCCACGTCCACTCTCCACGAAAGGACAAACGATTATATCGCGTTTGAGTACAAGAAAAAGCAAAAAAAGAACCGAGAGCTCCATGCGCCTCCTCATTTTTCGAGCGATTTCAGGGGACTGTTCGCCGCCTACCTGCGACCTGGCCCACTGTAACTACAAAACACACTTCTCTGTCTCCCTTTTCTGTTGTCCCCCTCATCCTTACTAACATAAGATGCAACTCGCCGTTCAAGACTTGATCCTCGACCCTCTTCATGGGACGTGATCGTGATCGAGCTTTACAGCCGTAATGGATTTAACAGTTTCCTTAGGAGATATCGACTTAGGCGTGGAAGGGGAAGAGAAGCAGGAAAAAAGAAGACGAAGATATTTGCCGAAATTGAATAGTTTTTTACCTTTCTTATTTCCGCGCGAATAAATCAGGGACTTCTCGTTTTAATTCTATCGAACTGAAAAACGATCACCTTCTCGGATGATTCCGTATTTTCACCGACTTATTCACGCGATGATTATTATTACAAGTTTTCATTTAAAAAATTATTTTACTTTATGTGTAAATTTAAAAAAATTTTAATGTGGAAAATGAGGAAAAGTGCGGTTTCGTGTATTGATATCTTATCGATACAGCTTCGTCATTTCAAAAGAGTCTTAGACGCTATAAAGCAGGTTGAAAAATCACCGCATCGTAATTCCCTGATTGTTGATTGGTAATCTACTATGGTGGAACTAATTAAGGCACTACCCGCGTCTCAAATGGGGCGTTCAAATTGTTTTCTACGCCGTCCATCTCTGCCGACTAGATAGCCTTGGGGAAGACGAGATAAAAAAAATAGCTAGACGATATTTCGCAAACTAATGAGCCGGCCCTAGCGAATTTTAACATAATCATTCTTATGATTTATAATAGGAGATCGTTCTTTCTCAAGCATTTCCCTCTCGCGATGCATCGTGTTATTTCTATCTCTTCTAAAGTTCATCAAAACATATATGCATATATAAGATATTCCAAATCCTAATTTGTTATTTTATTTTCTTAATTTTGAAATTTAAAAAATTACCAGGTAATTATATAATTTTTTAATTTGTATTCTTTAAAAAATTATTTGAATTTTTTAAAATTATAAATCAGTATATTAATATGTATTATAATTTCGAAAGAAACAAAAAAATTTTGTCTTTTACAACTTCTTGGAATTATATATCAAAAAATAAAAAAAAGAAACATATATGAAGATAAGAAATATATATGATTCTTTTAATATAATTCATATTCTTAATTATATTATTACTTTTTTCTCTTTTTTCTCTTCTTTTCAAAAATTTATTAAATTTAAGATGAGAAAAATATACAAAAAACCTATTAACGATCTTCCTTTTTACAAACGTCTAATCTGAGAGTTATTGACTGTTTTCTAAGTGACTTGCGATAAACTTAAATCATATATTAGATAAAGTGGCGTCAAATATTTTTGCCTCTATTTATTTTTGCTAATTGTCTGTCTCATTATTTCATTTAAGAAAGAACCGAAAAAAAATGTTGCACATTTTCTTATCTAAAGTAAACATTTATCTAATGTAACGTCAAGTCCTTTACCTATTTTCTAACCATTTTCAGCGCGTCTATAAATTCTTTTATCTTCATCATAGCTCCTGTAGCAGCAAACAGCAATAATAGATTATTTCATTCTAAAATACACACATACAGACACACATAGATACAAAATATATATACTTCTCTTCTGATATTTAGATTATCATATTCTAATCGCTATTATTTTATTAAAATATATGTAATTGTATAAATATTAATTTTTATCAATAATATTTAATCTTTATAATACCAATTGTGTCCTTTTTAAAATAAAAGAAATTTAAAAAAATTCACTGATCCACAAAATAAGATTCGACTAAGAAGTTTTTTCACGAGCGACATTCCTAACAAATGAAAATTTTCAATTTATGGATATTTCATATAGGAAAATCTTGTCAGAGAATCATACTCTCTAGGATTTTCATTCTTTGGTAGAAGGAAGGATCGACCCATGGCCATCTGTTGCATGCAAGAGATCGGAAAATACTTTCCAGAAAGGAGTCGACATATGGCACGCGGACAGAGGGACGAATTTATCTTTAGAGAGGAAAAAATACATGTTGGCAAGAGATTTTGTCTGTCGAAAATGTCGAGGGGGCGTGAAGAGAAAAAAACGAGCGTCTACTATTTTATAAAAAAGTTGGATTATATAACAAAGTAAAAAAAAACGCAAGAAAAAGGAAAAAAGAAAAAATGATCAAGCTAAATTCCTATAATTAGGATATTAAGTAATTTTTCTAATCTTATTTGCAATAAAGTAGCATATCCAATATATTTGCACTGAAACAATCGATAGTACAATGTTAATGCAATCGAATATTATTGTACCAGAGATGCAATACTGTTTGAATGATGTATCGATAAGTATAAGTATAAATATTTATAACTGCTATTCGCAAAAGAATATTAATTGAGCAATTAATGCTTATCATTACACACTTGCGTATTTATTCAACGTTATCTCGATTATTGACAGTCATAAAATCATGGTATTATATTCCAGATTGTGATTTCACACGTATTTTGAAATAGATATGCAAATCGAAATATATGTCCCGAGAGTATCTCAAAGAGAGAAAGAGAAATGGATGAGATTTGTGCAAGAAGCTTCTTGCATTTCTCGGAGTAAAAGAGACGCCGAGGACTCTAAGATTTCTCGAGAACGGAGAGAGAAGTGGCTGCTTATAGAATCTCGAGATGTTCTTTTAAGTAGCGAACCGACAAAAGTGTGTACACGACAACGCACTTATAAAACGCTGTCACGATCCTGCATACGATCCTCGTCACGATATTTTAAGCTCTCCTCGCATGACTGGCGGCATGATCTTAATAGCGGTGAGTGTTTTTAATATATCAATACAAAAACGCACTAAATTCTAAGCATTACCGATGTATCATAGCTGACATGTCGAAGTAGATTGTATAGTTACCATGTAAAATATCCACATTATATATATAAAAAGAGATTTCTTTATACATAATATATAAAAATCGTTGTTTACAATGTTTTAAATTCATATTAATATTTTAGTTTAATTAATAAAAAGACTAAAGTTTACTCTAACAAGATTAATAAAACTTTAATAAATCTGAACAATTTTTGCGAAAAGCAAAACAGGTACATTAAAATCTGAATGAATGGAGCCTTTCATCGTGACAACAGACATTGTTTTGGGAAGAACATGGTACGGAGAAAATCGTTTCCTCCTCCTTGCCTTGCACGGTATTGAAATTCAAATTAAAAATCCCGAATCATAAAATTATCCTTCGAAAAACGAAAAGCCAAGCGAGGCGCGCCGAGCAATTTTCGAGCAATTTCGTGGTGGGCCCGGTCTCCCCTTTCCCCTCTCCCTTCCTTCCCTCTGGACCTCACTTCTTGAGAGCGATCCTGCTAGAAAATAATGACCTGCGCCGCCGGCGACCATATGGTCGCGAGCAGGATGGTCCTTTCCTTCCCTTAAAAGATGAAGTGCACGAGCGAAACTTCAGGCCCACTTTGACGTATCCCAGATACTGTTGAATACTTTTGCCTCTCTTCCCCAAATGATGGATCGACATGCATTTCTGACTTGAGCGTGACGAAGCTAGGACGAGAACAAAAATTTTAAGGACACATTGTTTCGATTTTCCCAGATCACTCGAATGATCGATTTATGCTTTTCGATAAAAATCTAATACGCATTTCAGATG